CTGGGAAGCCTTGGGGATGGGTAGCTACCATTCAGAACTTTTATTTCCTGGAGAGAGGAGGAAAGAAAACAGGTGATGAGCCATAGATGCCACATCCATTTCTTCTTTCTCAAGTGATCAAACAGTTCCTAAACATCAATGTAACAGCTAGACTGATTTGCCACACTTCTATGAAACTGGCCAGTGAGAAAAAACCAAGCTCAAATGGATTTAGACAGTTCATTGCTCAGAGCACAATAGGCAATGTGAACTGCATGTTTACATTGATTCCCCTTGACCAGCAAGTCCCGCAGGTGTCAGCAGAGGACGACTGCAGAGTGGGGAAGAGTGAATCCAGGCAGATGCTGAGCGCACACCGGGCTGTGTCCCAGCTGAAAATACTGGACTTAAGAACTGATCTTATACAGAGGCTTGTCACAACTCCGCCATCCTCCTCTCCAAAAGAGAGGCATTATCACCACCCTGGAATTGAAGCAAATTTTGTCTGGGGAGAGAAGGAAGACTTTATTATAGTGGAGTATCTTCAGGGATGGAGAAGTTCTCTATCATGTTGGTCAGGAAACAAATCTGACCTTTGACCAAGGTTGTTTGCTGTACAACACCACCCGCCCCCACCCCAAATTATTAAAAAGGTTGTCCAAGAAGTGTGGAAATGGCAGGGAAATTACCTCCCAACATTCTCTGTTTCTAAATTCTGCGTAAATGCATGGACCTAGTTAAATATTTAAGGGACTATCTCAATTTTTTGAAACACATAGGTTTAGTCACTATTCTAATAGTATGTGAAGTTCTCACACAGGTCTGTAAGGGGACAAAGATGAGGACATTTATTTCATCACTGTTTGCAGATGGTGAAAAGTCAGAGACAGCCTAGGTGTCCACCACTGGGGACTGGAGACGTCAAATGTGATGCATGCATACTACGGAATACTCTACACCAGGAAAAAAACCCACAAAAACAAACCCAAAAAACTAGATGTACAGTTAGCAGTATAGCAAGCGCCTAAGAACATGGTTGAAGAAAAAAGTTAGAAACTGAAATCAGTAGTAGTTCTATATGCTATAATGAACCTGTACCATATCGCTCATATCCATGAAAGTACATACATGTACCAAGATATCCATACATTTTCTTTATTTTTTATTTTGGGTGGTAACTTTTTTTTTTTTTAATCTTCACTTGAGGATATATTTAGAGAGAGAGAAAGAAAGAGAGAGAGAGAGAGAGAGAGAGAGAGAGAGAGAGAGAGAGGGAGAGAGAAACGTCTACTGGCTGCCTCCTGTTCTCACCCGGATCGTTCAATGGGGATCAGGCCCGAAGCCTAGGCATGGCCCTGACTCAGAACTGAACCTGCAGCCCTTTGGTATATGGGACAATGCTCCAATCAACTGAGCCATCCTGCTGGGGCAATATCCATGCATTTTAAAAATCCAAGGCTAAATAGTAAATGTATTAGGGATGTTGCTTCTGGGGGAAGGGAATGGGCTTATGGAGTGAAGATAAAAGAGAATAAATAAAACAAGAGAGGGGCCTTGGAGATTTTATGTGCCATGAACTCACGGGTTATGATTAATTCAACATTCTACATATGAGGTTAAATGAAAAGGTACTGATAACCATCAGTGGTTGGGAAATCTGCAACTTCCAAATCAGTAAAGGTTCATTTCAAGTTTACCAGGTTCACAACTGTACATCTTGTGACATGGCATACGCCTCTTCACGGCACGGACACCCTCAGTGTTAGGGCTGAATTCTTGGGTGCTCCTTCGAAACTAGCTCTGTCAGAACAGCTCTCTTAGGACCCCGCACTGTCCTTGTCAGTAACAGCAACACACGGTCTTCCATCCAAATTAAGTCAAAGGAGAGTTTAAAAATCATCTACAAAATTCATGTCATAAGCAATCTTAGGTGAGGTTTCATCTTAGTGTATGAATACATTTCATCTTTTAAAAAATTTTTTTTACCAGAATAAAAAATTTTAAGGAAGCTGGTTAGTGTTTTTCTCTGAGGTGGTAGACAATTAAGAATGCTCTCCTCCCAACCCAGATCTGGGGCTTTTTTATTTTTATTTTTATGGGAGATGGGATGAAAATTTTATTTTTATGAAGATGCATAGTTTACAGGGTTGTTAAGTGGAAAAGATGAAATCATGCTTATGGAGAGCTTGGCACAATGTCTTACAGTGTGCGTGGACATAAGTAGCTGTTTCTGCTTGCTTATTTTATTCATTGCATGCCTTTTATGTTGCTGGTGAATTCGTGCTCCTGAATTCTCCTCAGATTCTCCTGAGGGTGGAAGTCAAGATCTAGCCCTTTATGTTCAACAACACTGAGCATCCAATTTACCATAAGAAGCATCAACCAGCCTGGCAGGTGTGGCTCAGTGGTTGAGCGTCGACCCATGCACCAAGAGGTTGCCAGTTCAATTCCCGGTCAGGGCACAAGCCCAGGTTGTGGGCCCAATCCCTAGTGGGGGGCATGCAGGAGGCAGCCAATCGATGTTCTCTCTCATCAATGTTTCTATCTCTTTCTCCTTCTCACTTCCACTCTATCTAAAACTCAATAAAGGAAAAAAAATTAAAAAAAGAAAGGAAGCATTAATGAGATACCCAAAGACTCTTGGACAAAAATTAGACTTCATTATGTCTGTATTTTAAGCAGGTAATAGAAAACCTGGGACATTAGAGAGGCTCAAGAAATCCTAAACAGCAACGTTTATAACCCCCATTTTAAAGACAAAGAAACTGAGGCGTGGACTTGACCAAAGCTACACAGTGAAATCAGTGGTGGCATTCATTATTTTGAATCTCAAATCTGAGATATTTTTTTTGCAGATACTTGGTCATTCCATCAAAGAATTGTGGGAGGGGAGGAGGTGGATTTCTAGCAATCTCTGTTATTGGCTTGTTTTCTCTCAGTCCATTACCCTCTCCTGGGTAAATATTAGGCAGTCACTCAAGGCCTTGATGCTCCTGGTTTTTCACTTCCTACCTGAACCTTTGAGTTTGGGGTGTTGTTTTTTTTTTTTATTCTCACAAGAGAATTTTTTTCCCTTTTATCTTCAGATAGAGTGTGAGGGGGAGAAACACATTGACTGGATGCCTCCCGCACGACCCCAATCAGGGCTGGGGACCGGACTGCAACCGAGGTACGTGCCCTTGACCGGAACCGAACCCGTGACTCTTTGGTCCACGGGCCAAAGTTCTAACCTCTGAGTCAACCTGGCCAAGGCTGCAGTGTTCTTTTATATTTTGTTTTCCTCCTGCTGGCAATGAACACCTCATCTCAGCTCCCTGATCCGAAAACATGGGGTGAATGATATCTTCCTGCCCACTTGAGAGAGTTCTCTCTCCAACACCCACAGGCTCACTCCTAGCCCATCTCCTTCTCTCCTTTAGTAGGCTTAGCTCTGCCTAAACTTATTTGTTTATTTTCTGTCTCCCCGACCCCAGAATGGCAGCGTGGTGGAGAAGGCAGGATCCTCTGTCCCCTGAGTGTATCATTCATTGCTGCATCCCTGATACCTACTGCAGTGCAGTACAGGTCCTCAAAAATTATTTGTGGTCACATACTTTTTATTTATTTATTTTAATTGAATTTATTAGAGTAACACTGGTTACTAAAATCACATAGGTTTCAGGTGTACAATTCCATAACACATCATCTGTATATTGTACTGGTGCTCACCACCCCAAGTCAAGTCTCCTTCCATCACTATTTCTGCCCCCTCTATCCTCCTCTACCTCCCCCCACCCCCTTCCCTCTGGTAATCATTACACCGTCATCTGTGTCCATGAGGTTTTTTAATATTTTACTTAATCTCTTCACCTTTCTCACCCAGCCTCCTACCGCCCTCCCCTCTGACAGCTGTAAGTCTCTGTATCTGTGGATCTGTTTCTATTTTGTTTGCTAGTTTATTTTGTTCATTGGATTTCACATATGAGTGAAATCATGTGGTACTTGCCTTTCTCTGGCTGGCTTATTTCACTTAGCAGTATGGAGATACCTTAAAAAAAAAAAAAGAAATGGAACTATGTCCCAGTGATTCCACTTCTGGGACTACATCTGAAGAAACCCAAAACATTAATTCAAAAGAATATATGCTATGTTCATAGCGGCATGTTTACAATGGTCAAGATTTGGAAGCAGCCCAGGTGTCCATCAGTAGACGATGGATAAAAAGCTGTGGTACATTTGCACACCGGAATGCTACTGGGCTGCAAAAATGAAGGAAATCTCTCCCCTCTAGAGCGCACGGATGGACCTGGAGAGCATTACCCTAAATGACATGCTTTGAAACAAGCTCTTCCATTCACTAAGTGTCTAACTATATGGCAAGGACTGCACTAAGTATTCAATGCATTGCCGTATTCTTATGCGTGCTCCTGGCAGGGAGCCCTGCCGGCCTGGGCGGGCGCAGGTAGGTCAGCACCTGCAGGGCGGTGGCTGGGCTTCAACGCTCTTCTTTCTTCCCGCCTCTGCTCTCCAGCAACCGCGCTCAGCAGTCCCAGCGTCGCCTTGTAAGTAGTTTTCTGAAGTCAAGGCCCAGAAAGGCACTTTGCTGAGTGGGTGATAGAAAAGACAAACACAAACTATCTAAATTAGGGATCCTGGCTCTGCTTCTGTGGGCGCAGGGCGCGGGAGCAAAGGGAATTTCTGATCACTGTAAGGATCAGAATCATCGGGCGGCCACCGCTGACTCCGAGGCAGAGAACCCGCAAAGGCCAGTCTGTCCCTCCGCCGGCTCCCTGGTGGCCCCGCGCCCCGAGGCTTCCTGCCGGGCGGGCAGCCAGTCTGGCCCCAGCCTCCGCCACACCCTCCGCGCCCCAGGCGGTGACCTGCAGCCAGTGCGTCAGAACAACGCCCCCCGGCGCGTTCCTGTGGCCCGCGCGCCAGACACCTTTGCAACCCGCCCTCTGCTCCCCGACGTCAGGTTAAAACCCAGCTCCACGTGCGTGCGACCAGGCTGGCTGCGACCGTCGGCTTAGGGCTCGGAGACCTCACCGCGGGAGCCAGCATGTCGACTGCGGTCCTGGAGAGCTCGGGCCTGACCAGGAAACTCTCCGACTTCGGCCAGGTGAGCGGGCGCCTGGGGGAGCAGGGGGGGGGGGGCGCTGCTGTGCCCCACTTCCAGAGCTCCCCACGGAGGCCCACTCCACGGGAAGGGGACGAGATTGCCCAGGAAGTCCTCAGACAACACGGGTCCTCAACAACTGTTTGGGGGGGAGGACATCTGTCCTGGCTTTCAGGGCAAAGAGCACTCACTGCCCGAGGAGTTGGGGATCTGGCTTCCAGAGGGCCACCAGCCAGCTGTGTGGGTCTTTACACGGGTCACCCTCCCCCTCTGTCACCTTTCTCTTCTGGACATGGAAGGGGCTGGTCCTTAACCATCGGGAATGGGAGATGGGATCCTTCTATCTGCTCTTCTGTGATGTTTGTAAAACACCTCAATCATGTATTGAAATGGCAAAATTGTGAGAAAATGCATCTTTTTTTTTTTTTTACTTTTGGGAGAAAAATGAGGCATGAAGAAAGTCTCACAGTCAGAACTGGGGAAGGAGAAAATTAAACAGAGAGGAAAAGGAAAGAGCTAGCCTTGGATGGAACGTGAGAGAGAGCCCTTCATGTGACTTAGGGATAACGCCCAAGGTGTGCCCCATTCTCTGGGATGTGTTGGCTTTCTCTTGAGGTGAACAATTCAGAACGCACTCTTCTGCTGACTTGCCACACTCCTGGGCTCTACCGTTGGGAACTAAAGTCCAGATCGGGGAGGTAACCCAATTCTGCAAGGTGCCTGTTGTCTGTAGAATAAATGAGAACCATCCAGAGAACAGGAAGGTGGAGGGGATGGGCGGTTGATGTTTTAGTATAACTAGAGAAACTGCAGGCCTTTGCAATGGCTTTTGGTTTTTGAGTCCTGAGAGGAAGACTTCCTTTGAAAATGGTATGTGATGCTTGAGAGATGGGGGAATTGGGGATTGAAGAGGGATGGTGTAGGGTCAGACTGATCACAGAACAGATCTTGACTTCATCATCATTTCGTTTCTGTGTTGCTGGCCATGGTCATCCACAACCGTGAGAGGTTGTTAGGGGCAGCAATCTGGTTAGGGAGCCATGGACAGTAAAGCTTTATTTATAAAGCACTTAGAAGAACATTGAGATCCACAAATTGTCCATCTTGATTACTAGAGATAAAGAGCAGGGTTTAGAGCATGCCCTGGTACCTCCTGTGTGTGGGAAGCAGGACATTTAATTTTGCAGAGCCTCAGCTTTATTCATTTGAAAAATTGGAATAAAAATACCCATGTCCTGGAGTTGGTATGAAAATCAAATGAAATGAGGTCTATAAAACTCTTAGCACAGTTCACAAGCATGAATGGTGAAGCCAGTGTGCAAAACCAGATCTGACTCTGCATGCTCCTCTGCCTCGCTGCTTTCTCCTGTAGATAAGTGCTGGAATATAGAGCTGTAGTGTGTCCACAGCAGAAGGTTTGCATCTCGTTTTCAGTTGTCTTACACTGCAGATATGTGCGTGTTTAAGCATTCAGGCAAATATGCACCTCCTACTGTGCCCCCCACCCCAAAGCACTAAGATTGAAAGGCAGTGTTCCTGGAATATCCTTGCCAAAGAGTATTATTGCTTGCATTTTGGAAAAGTGTTCTTTTCCAAAGATAATGAATGTATTTATTAGACACATCAAACACAATATATTTCTTTCGTTAAATATATTGATCAATGATCAAAATGCTTTCCTTCCTGGTTCCTAGTGAAATTCTTTCTCTCAGCCCTACTTCTTCCTATTTAGTTTCTGATCTACTCTTCTCTGCCTTTACCAATCCTGGAGATACCTGTGTTTCTAAGTCAATTCACATGTCTATTGAAAGAAAATAAGGTATAGAGTGTGAGCCAATACAAACATATTCTGGAAGATATTTGGCCAAGTTCCCATGCTGGGTCAACATAGCAACGTTGACATCAGTACCCACCTGAGGCTATACCATTTCACAAATTTCCATGAGCTTCCTTTCATTTAAAGTCTCTCAGGCTGTAGCCCAGCTCAGTCTGCCATTGGGAGGCAGAATAAGGACTCTGGAGTTGTTGGACCTGAGCTGAAGTTTAGACTTTGCCACTCATGAGCCAGGTGTCCTTGGACAGGCCACTTAACCTTGCTGAGTCTGCTTCCTCATTTGCAAAACTACAGCACCCACTTACTTCATGGGCCTGTTGTGAAGACATGAACTCTTAGAACAGTGCTAGTTGCTGCCAATGACGATGTTTATTAACTATAAAAAGTACCAAGTATGGCTCCTGGCACATAGTGGGTACTCAGTTAATATTAATAATACTAACCCTAAAGAGTAATAACTATCATATAGCAGATATGAATTTGCAAACACATTTGAGAAAAGTCATAATTTAAAAAAATAGGTTGTGTATGTTTATCAGTGGTTTAAAAATATTCCTTGGCTAAGAATCACTTGGGATGCTTTTAAAAATGCAGATTCTAAGATCCAACTCCAGATAGTCTGATTGGTTTGGGAGGAGCCCAGGAGCCTGCATTTGAATAAGGAATCACCAGGTAATTTTGGAGTGGAGATCCAAGGAACACTCACTGGGAAACCCTGATTTCGGAAGTGTGGGGAGAATGAAGGAAGTGAAGGGCATGGGCACAGGTAAGGAGTGGTACTGATTAGGCCAGAGAAAGGCCCTTACTTTGCAAGAAACCTAGGCCTTGATATGGATCTTATGTTCAGAGCAGAAGGAATTGTATAGAATGACTGATATCCGGCCTGGTCGGTATGGCTCAGTGGTTGAGCATTGACCTATGCACCAAGAGGCTGCCAGTTCGATTCCCAGTCAGGGCACACGCCCAGGTTGTGGGCCCGATCCCCAATGGGGGGCATGCAGGAGGCGGCGAATCAATGTTCTCTCTCATCAGTGTTTCTCTCTCTTTCTCTCCCTTTCTCTCTGAAAAATCAATAAAGAAAAAAAAAAAAAAAAAAAAAAGGAAGAAGAAGAAGCCAGAGAGCATTTACCAAGCAGCAATGCAAACAATGTAAAAATAAAAATTAGAACGACTGATATTCAAGAGCCGGAGTTCTTGACCTGGGACTACTACCTGTGTGGCCTCAGGCGAGTCACTCTCTTTGGCCCATAGTTTCTCGATCTGGAAAATGAGAGTTGGAACTAGATGAATTCTAAAGTCAAGTCTAGCTCTATGAGTCAGTTAGCAAGTTTTATGTGAGCATCAGAAGCCAAAGAAATGCACAGACCCAAGAGGGGTTGTTTCTGAGAGAAATGAGACCCAAAGGGCTTTTGAGGAAGGTGAGCTATTTGAAAGGGGGAGAGAGAGGGGTGCAGTGCATTCACCCCAGTGAGGAGTTGTAAGGGCAAGGAGGAAACCAGTTGCCTGGGGGGGGGGGGGGTTCTAGTGGGTGGGCCTCAGGAGACTCTTGACTATTGAAAGGAGGTATTTGGTCCCACTGGCCACGAGGAACCTCTAAAGAACTCTGAGTAGAAAAAGGACATGAGCAAAGTTCTGTTAGGGCTGAATCGATGAAGATCACCAAGAGCTGGACTAGTGTGGGGCAGTAGGAACAGAAGAACGACCTGACCTTGAGAGCTGGGTCTGTAGGAGGTTAGATTGGTCTTGGCGACTGCCTGGGCATGCACAGGAGTGGGAAAGGATGGTGACGGAGTTTTGAGCATGGTACATTCATGTCTGAATTGAGAGGTGACATTCGTGGAGATGTATCAGGAATGTTACTTTTCTTGGAGGCCAACAAGGTAAGAGAATGTTACCAAGAGTCCTAGAAACAGGGACATCCTTGGTCATTTCACGGAAACCAGGAAGGACTAAGGGCTCAGTGTTCTCTGGGATGAAGAGGACTGAAGGCAGAAACTCATCTGACTAGCTTTGGCAGGGCTCGAAATAGAGAGAAGGCAGGGTAGAGTGCACAATACATCCCGAGTCTTAGACAGTATTCTGGGTTTCTATTCCGGCTCCACGGCATAACTATGGGTAAGTTACTTAACTTCTCTAACCCTTAATTTTGTCATCAGTGAAAGAAGGCTCTTGGAAATTAATAAAACCTACCTTCTAGATTGTTACAAAAATTAAATGACATGGTCCAAATCAAGTACTTACAATGCCTGTGACATTGTAGGCTCTTAATAAATGATGGATTACGCATTTTTTTTTTTTTTAGAAAGATTACATCATGGTCCATATAGGGAAATATAATAGTTCAGTCTTCTAATTCATTTGAAACTTATTCTAATCACACTAGCTGATCACTTAGGTTCTTCTCCCCACCTCTGTTTCAGGTAAGGTTGTGGGAAAATCTGTATTTTCTGAATTAAAAGAAGTTTGTCTTAAGGGTCATCAGTGTTTATGCAGGGCTTATTATACCAAGTCCTAAAAGAACCCGCCCAACACAGCCTTCTCATTGAGATAATATAACATCCATTCCACTCATTTCTTTACAATGCTTATAAGAGAGTAATTTTCTGCACATTGTTCCCCCTAATTTTAGGTTTTATGTTTAGTTGTGTGCACACATGGAACTTTATATATTATTACAAAACTTAATTTAAAAAATTTCAAGTATTTCAGCAAACTCTTTCTGGAGTGCCAATCTTAATTCCACCTTAATTGGCCATCACGTGCATGTGGAAAGTGTAGATCCTTGACATTTTGAGCTGTTTTGTTGAAGATATCCACCTTGGGTTATTTATGTACTTTTATGTATTTATGTTATTTTGCAGCTCTTTTTCTACTTGGACATCCAAGATCCCATGTTTCAAGAACAAGTTAATGGTTCCCTGAGATCTTTGCTGAAGGCTGAGAAGTCTTCCTTTGTGTATTTAAAATATTTCCATCATTTTTATGGACTCCTCTCAATCTTCTATTTAAATTATTTTATGTTTTTATTTTTTCATCACCTGAATACTGTGTAGATAGGGTTTATTACTAGCATGATTTTATAGAAGAGGAAAGTATGAAGGCTAAATGATTTGTCCAAAGTAATCCAGCTGAGCGGATCTCAACCCAAGTCTTCAGACTCAAAAGCCGGTGTGTGTTCTATTTTTAGGACTTTCCACCCCATATTTTTCAATGTTTTCCTAGGACACTTTTTGAACCACCACTAAAGATATTTTTTTTAGTTATTTTGAGCTGTCATCTTTGTATCTCTCAGAGCCCCATTAACTGGCACTTGGTAAGTGCTCATTAAAAGGTATTGGATCTAGCCCTGGCTGGTTTGGCTCAGCAGTTAGAGAATCGGCCTACAGTCCAGAGAGACCCAGGTTCGGTTCCCGCTAAGGGCATGTACCTTGGTTGCAGTTTGTCCCCGGCTCTGGTTGGGTTGTGCGGGTGGCAGCCACTCGATGTGTCCCTTTCACATGGATGTTTCTCTTTCTCTGTGTCTTCCTCTCTCTCCCTCCCACTCTATCTGAACGAAAAATGAAAAAATGTCCTCAGGTGAGGATTAAAAAAAAAATTAAAAAAAAAAAAGGTATTGGATCTATAAGTAGGGTGACTGGTGATACCAGGGAATAATCGAAGCTTCCTAATGTTGAAATCTGACCTAGAAGCATTATTGAAAATACCACTGCCCTCAATTTACTTATTTTCCACCTCACTATATAGAATATATAGCTCACTGCATTCCAAGGCTTACTTAGAAGAAAGAGTTCATGTGGCCTCTTCCCTGGAGGTTTCACAGGAATGAATTGCTGAACCGTGGGAAACATTTTAACCAAGTGTGTTTCATCCTGTAGGAAACAAGTTACATTGAAAACAACTCCAATCAAAATGGTGCCATATCACTGATTTTCTCACTCAAACAAGAAGTCGGAGCACTGGCCAAAGTCTTGCGTCTATTTGAGGTAAGAGCTTTAATTCAACTCTGTCTTTGACCATTGCCTAGCTGATGTGTGTGTCATCTTCTAGTTGGATGACTGAACGTAGGATCCAGAACTGGAAGACTTGATTTGCAGCGTAAGCTCTTATATTAACCAACGGCTTTAGTTCAGTCTTTCCTTCTCCCTGAGTTTTAGTTTCTGCATTCATAATCGGAATCATTCAGAATCACTGGTCCACACCCAGGAAACCAGCCCTCCCCTGAGACTTCTTTCAACAAGCTTTTCGCGAATGAATTACTATCTTCTCAGTGTTCTCAAAACACTTTTTACTTTCAACTGTAGCACTTATTTGCCTTAAGGGTATACATTTCTGTCTGGCCCTGAGGATGGTTCCTTCAAGCAAGGAACCTTGGTTCAATCATCTTATTTTCTCTACAGATCCAGATTTTTATATTTTAAGTGTTCAGTGAAGAATGAAATTAAACTTAAATATAAGCAAAGAAAATTAGACTTTTCTTTTAGTCTTTTGCCCTGGATTTTAAGAAGGAATATTTTTGAACCAATTAATTTTTACCCCAAGTTCTTTAGTAAAATGAAATCTGGTGACTGTGAATACATAAGTAAATGGAGAAGAGCCCGGCCAGTGTGGCTCAGTGGTTGAGTGTTGACCCATGCACCAAGAGGTCGCCAATTTGATTTCCGGTCAGAGCACATGTCCAGGTTGTGGGCCAGATCCCCAGTGGGGGACATGCAGGAGGTGGCCAGTTGATGTTCTTTCTCATCAATGTTTCTATCTCTCTCTACCTCTCCCTTCCTCTCTCTAAAAATCAGCAAAGGAAAAAAAAACATAAATAAATGAAGAAGAGACAAACCTCCGATGGAGAGGAATTCCAAATAATTTAAGTAGATACTCTGGACTCAGAGAAGGAGAGCACAGCCCCCTCTTCTTAAGTGTGGGTGAGACAGAGTGACTTTCTTCCAAAGGAAATATTGTGAAACAGAGAGGAAAGAGTAACTTTTCTGTGGAGAGCCCAACAAACAGTAGCTCAGTCAGGTAATCAAGGTCAACATCAATAGTGATAAGCCATGTAGACAGTATGTCCCCATGATGACGTGATAAGAATGGCATTTTACCTCTGTGGCCTTCCGCCCCCAAACCCATAACCTCTGTTTAACCATGAGAAGAACACCTGACAAATTCCAGTGAAGAGACATTATACAAAATACTTGACCCGTACTCCTTAAAACTGCCAAGGTTATCAAGAACCAAGAATATCTGAGAAATTGTTATAATCCTAAGGGACATAGTGACTAAATGTAATATGGTGATCTGAATGGAATTATAGAACAGAAAAAAGACATTAGTATAAACTAAGGAAATTCAAATACAGAATGTCTTTAGTTTATGATAATGCATCAATGTTGGTTCATGAATGTTTCACCACCAACATAAGATGTTAATAATAAGGGGAACTGGGTGCAGAGTATACTGGAATTTTCCATAGTGTGCTTTCAATTTTTCTGTCAATTAAAAATTGATCTAAAAAATAGTTTATTAAAATAATTAAACTTGGCTATCCATAAAGGGGGCCGTGGGGGTGGGGAAATGTCTGCTCTCAAGCAATGATTGGAGAATAGAGACGGTACTTCTGAATGACAAACCATTTATAAGAGAAAATATATCTGGCAGCTGTAAGAAAGAAAGGTCTCTTATCCTTTGACATGACACGGGGGGACCTGGAGAGTATTATCCTAAGTGAAACAAGTCAATCAGAGAAAGACAAATGTCACATGATCTCACTTATTTGTGGCATATAATGAACAAAACAAGCTGATGAACAAAATAGACCCAGATACATAGAAGTAGGGTACAGACTGACAAACCTCAGGAGAGGGGGTGGGGGAGGGAAGAGATAAAAAACAGAACTTACATACATGTACGCATAACCATGGACATAGACAACAATGCTGTGGGGGGAGGGGCGGGAATCAGGGGGAAGGTGTTAGTGAGGGAAAAAAGAGAAACATCTGTAGCAAAAATTAATCAATTAAAAAAAAAGAAATACTATATCTGTAAAATGCTCCTTCATAACAATTCAGCCTTTGTATTATTCGATTAATCAGCATTTTCCCCGCAAGAGGTCAGGCCTTAGAGTTAATAAATTAAGTAATAGTAAATTAATAGGATGTTTTCAACTTAATAAATAAACCACAAGTAACTAAATTACCCAGACTGGATGAAATGTACCCAGGGAGTGTGTGTGTGTGTGTGTGTGTGTGTGTGCATGTGTGTGTGTGTACTCCGGGTAAATTTTTTAAAATTAAATTTATTGGGATGACATAGGTTACTAACATTATATAAGTTTCAAGTATACAATTCCATAAACATCATCCATGTATTGCACTGTGTGCTCACCATCTGGATAAACTTTTTGAAACATTATCCAAAAATCTCAATTGCCCTGGTCAATAAGTGGTATTATTACACCCATTTGCAAAGGAGGAAACAGAAGTTACTATACTAAGTGATTGGTGAAAGGGTTGGTGTCAGTATGCATTGATTTTTTTCCAGACATATTATAGAAGCTGTCCTAAACATTGTGTAGACCATCCTTCTACCCTTCTTATCAGCCTGGAGAAATGCAGATACTTCTGAGGATTAAATGACTTAATGCATGTAAAGCCCTCAGAGTAGTTACATATTAAGTGTTCAGAGAATTGCTGTCTAGTTCTTTTCTGAATGCAATGGCTTTGAGATTTATACTTGGCATGCAAATTGATCATAACCTTTAAATTCGAAAGAACAGCTTTTAATATGTGTGCTCCATGTGATGGAAGCTTTCTTAGCCCCTATCCACCAGGAGCATGTATGAGGCATCCTAACTCCTCAAAGAAAAAGTGAGGTCTGCAGGTGAGGCCAGACTTCTCCCAGCTTGGTTAGGTTTCATTCCCTTCCTGAGAACCCATCTTTTCTTCAGAAGTCACCAAAGTCACCACCCCATTAAGAGATGAGGTGCTTGCCAATGGGCTCGTGGCTTTGGAGACCTCGGCTAGTATTAACATCAGAAGGCAATACAACGGGTTTGATGTTTACAACAGAAACAGAAGTGTGTTTGCATGTGTTGGGTGGGGGCAAAGAAGCAGACATTTCGGTGAATGGGGGTTGAGCCATCAGGAACATATCAAAACCTGTACCTGCTAACAAATGCCCCACTGTCCTCGGAAATTTGTTCTGCCAATTCTTTATGCATTTATTTTAATGTTTTCTGTAGCTTTCCAGTTTTTAACTTCTACTAGTTCATGTCCCATGCCTTCTTTAAAAAAAAAAAAAAAGGTCTCCTGTGAGTCTTTACAGTGGTTCAGCAACGGGCTATAAAATCAGAAGCAGGTTCCTTGGGGAAGTGGTCTCCCTGCCTCCACCAGCCCTCTGCTAATCACCTTCCTGTGGTTCTCTAGGGAAGAGAACACACGTGTCAGCAGATACACAGAACTCTCCAGTGACTGGCATGCTCCTTGGGCATCGTTTAACTGATGGAGACACCGGGGCTCAGACAAGCAAGCTGCTCAAGGCTAGACGCTGGGAGCTAAAAATTACTTCAGGCTTCACCTGCCTTTCTCACAGTGGTCTTTCGGAAACAAATGGAAAAGGCACAATCTATGTTTGTCAAACTCACTTCCTATACTCTAGCTACCTCTGCCCAGCTGACCCTTCACTAGGTATTCAGTGGGCTCATGCTCTCTCATTAATGCATTCGGCTTATATTTTTTTAGTATCTGCTGTTTTTGGACCCTGTGTAGATGCTGGGGAGACTGGGGTAAGCCAGACAGACGTTCTCTGTCCCTGTAGACCTCAGAAGAGCTCAGGGTTTCATGAGCTTCCTTAAGCCAGACTCGAGGCAGAGTTGGCCAGGGGAGAGGCTGGGGGAAGTAAATTCCAGAGCAGAGAAACAAATCCTTGAAGTAAGAGAATAAACATGTGATCGGGTCTCGAAATCCTCAAATCCTTGACCATCGCCCACCTTGGTGTTCCTGGGGACAGAGGCTGGGTTGCAGAAGGCCATTCAGGTTAGATAAGTGTGTATTACTCTAAACTTTGGACTTTAAAGACTGCCAGAGACCTCTGGGCCTGGCGAGCAGGACAGGGTCAGGCATAAGGTCACGAGTGCAGCTTTTACCCCGTGGTGGCCTCAGGTCCTTGCAGGAAACATTTCTTCTTTAATAAAAATAAGATGAGCTTTGGAGGAAAGCAGTTCTTAGAATCCAGATGACTTTTTCATTTTTTTCAAAACCCCCAAATGTGGGCAATGATATAAAGAATACCCACATAACTCACTTCCTGCTGAAGAAATAGAACATGGTAGAAACGACTGGTGTCCTTGGGTACCCCTCTCCCAGACCCTCCCTCCTTAGAGGTAGCTGTACATCCGAATTGTATATATGCGGGTCCCGTGCACATGTTCATACTTTGTTCTACATAGACAACCATTAGTGGTGCATGGCAGAGTTTTGCGAGCTTTTAACCTTCCTAAAATTGTAAGTCTCCTTCTGTGGCTTTCTTTCCTGAGGAGTGGGTGGTGAGCATCGTTTTTGAGGTTTATTCACACAGTTCTTGGGTATTCCTTCCCCCCTCTATATATTCCATTATGTGGCTGTACATTATCCATTCCCTGTTGGTAGGTGCTTAGGTGGCTTCTGTGGTTTGTCCATACAAATGGTGTGGCACTAAGCATTCTCTGCAGGTCTGATGACATATTTATTGAAGAAAAAAACCTGAAATGGAAAACTGCTTTTAGCTGCTAAACAGTTCAAACCTGGACACACTAGAGAAATAGAGATACAGAGCTCACTCTGAACACTTGCGTGTGAAGTGAGGTCTCACACCCCAGCCATTAGACAGCACTGTGGCCCACTGATGGCACCTATGGGATCGTTCTTATGTGGCCTGGACCGGAACAGACCACAGTGCCTTTTTGCTCTTATCACGTTGGTGGCAAGAAAAGGTGTAGCAAGAAGATGTAAGAAAA